AGGAGGGGCGCTGCTCTCCTCCTCCTCCTCCTCTTCCCCCCCTCCCCCCACTCCTCAGGGTGATGCAGGCAGACCACCGTTTGTGACCTCACAAGCCGGCCTTGCCTTCTGCTGCTGTTGCTCCTGGCGCTGCTGCCTCCAAGGCCCTGGGAAGACACCTCCTCCCTCCCCAACTCACCCCCTCTCTCCCCTCGTTTCCCTTATGCCCCCCCAGCACCACCAGCAGCAGCCAGATCCCTTAAGGCTTTGTCCCGCAGCAGGCAAGATGGACAGTGGACAGACCCAGAGTCTCGAGATCAGCGAGGCGGATGCCAACTGGGAGCTGATCCGGGACAAGGTGAGAGGGTGGAGCTGGCATTTGGAAGGGCAGCGCCTCAGAGGGCTACCTGGCCAGCCCGGGCTGCAGGGGCAGGGGCAAAGCGGGTCCCCCACAAGCGCTTGGCCGGACCGGGGAGGGGGACCATCAGCTGCAGGAGGAAGTTCCAAGGAGAGCCCTCCTCCAGTTGAGGGCCCTGGACACTTGGGGTCATTTGGTCATATCTGAGCTAACTAAAATGGATTAGTGTCTCCTATCAATTCAGAGAGAGAGAGAGAAATGTGTTCGCAATATAAAATGACAAGATCCTGGGGTGGAAAGAAAGACTGTTTCTCCAGACTAATATCCAGTTTGAGTCAAGCTGATCTACTGGCTGCTGTTCCTGCCTGACCACCAGCCAGGGTCCCTGGTCAATAGGTGATGACCCTCAAGCCCGATCACGAGCCCCCCACCAGTGGAAAGCAGTCCGTAGCTCAGCCCTAACCCTAACTCAGGTGGACTCTGCAGACGTGAGGCAAGGTGACCCACCCAAGAGGAAGAATTCCACATCCAACCTGGAATAAGACAGTGGGAAACCACCTCCAAATAGTAATTGATGCCAAGAAAACTGGGTAGATACGGTTGCACCATTGAAACCATTAAAAGTTTGGGTCAGAGATGTTGAGACCCCCCGCCCAGGTCACTCACTGGAGCATGGAATTTCCACAAGTAGATCTCGTGGATGCGAGCAAGTGCACAGGAAGAGCAAGCAGGGATTTGGCAGGGGGCCGAGGTGCACACCGTTGTCGCCGTTGCCGCTCAGAAGGATGCGGAGACCGAGGGAGCTACTCTTGTGTCCCGCAGGGGACGTGCCATGTTTTCCATTCTGAACAGAGCAAGAACTACCCACGAGCTGACTGCCCATTCCACCCCCTCTAAAGAGAAGGCGGATGGCCAAGAGAAAAAACTGTCCGCTCCCAACTGCCAAGGAAGATGGGAAATGCTTGAATTGCGCACAGGGAGCAGGCAGCCAGGAGCAGGGCACGAAGAGGTGGGGAGGGAGGGGACCCGAGAGAGGAGCTGGAGCTCTGGAACAGATTCCAGCTCCTCCGCCCCTGCTCTGAGGTTTCCAGGCCCCTGAAGAGGGACTAAGCAGGGAGGAAGGACGGGTGCTGGGGATGGTGGGGATTGGAGGCTCCCCCCCCCCCCGGGGGCCGAGCAGCACGGGAGCCTATAACGTGGGGTGGGCCTTTTGTGGGACCCGGGGGGGGTT